TAGAAAGTGTGAAATGAAAAATCTGTTCCACTAAATACATAAAAGAGACCCCAAACGAAGCCTCCACGATGGTGTTCATCATCATGGGCACAGATGGTGTCCTCCTCTGGCTCACCCCTCCCTCCCCTCCCTGCAGGCTTAAGTTTCATCCACTGTATTCATCCAAAAATATCACATGCGAATAGATAACACCAGCAGAGCCCATCTGCACACTGTATTTTTATTTTTCTGTCCTTCGTGTGCATCCAACTTTAGGTGGATAAATCAAGGAAAGTATGGCTTCTGGTCCTACAATGCTCAGATTGAATACATATTGTTGCCATAGGAATTCAGTGACCTGGAAGTCAAGAGGTCATTAAAGCATTTCATCAATAACCATGGCTTTATCATCCTCTTACACTGATCGCTTGTCATTTTCCCCTCCAGTGCCTATGCTATAGCCACTTACTAATAGCCCCATGGATGTGCATTATGGAACAGGATCTATAAAATCATCAATATGCTGTTTTGTTTTCTAAAATATCTAAAAGAGGCTTTAAGACACGCATGCCTGGAATTTACCCATCAGGTGGAGTTGAAAGCCTGTGGAAACACAGGAATGCTACCCCATCCTTGAAGACTCCAAGTCTTTCCACTGTGTGCACAGCAGCCTAGTCTGGAAAAGCAATGCTTACAAGTAAACCTCATAGAACAGAAGTGGGCAAGGCAAGTAGGAAGTCATGGGACTCTGACTCACCGCTTGGTGTAGCCCGTTCCTGGGTGGTATTGTTAACCCTCATGCGTGTTTTCAAGATGGGGAAAATTAGAGAAACCGAAAAGGGAAAGTGTCGGGTGAATCTCGGGGAACACTTGACCACAGATCATCAGAAATCACCCTTGATGATGACGAAAACAGAGGCTTGTCTGTCAGATCCTGAAATTCTAAACATTCCCAAACTGCACATCTTTTCAGCGCCGCACTCTAGGAACAACAAACACCAGGGATCTCCCTTCTCTAGCACAATGCATTTAATTTTAAAATTAGAAAAGAATCACTATAAGTATCCACAGAGAATAGGATTAACAGAAAGCTCAATAAGATTACTGGAAAATTTGCATTGCACCCAAGTGTCCTTAAGTTACTGTACACATAAATAAGACACATACATTTGAAATGATAATTGGATTATCGATTGCTTTTCACCCTCCAAGTTGCTCAGTGGAGTAAAACAAATATAAACAAACAGAGTCATGGTCTCAAAGTGACCTGTAGCATTGTCTGGTTAAACTTCCTACTTTTAACGAAGAAAGTACGTCACAGAGGGGACAAGTGACTTGAAAGAAGCTACTCAGAGATGCAGTGCAGGAAGGGCACAGAGGACTGGGTCTCTTGGCTTCTTAAGGTGGTCTGCCCTGGTAGAAAGAAGACGGAAGCCTCAGTGTCTAAACTTCACACCTGTCCATTCCAGAATCTGCCTGTAAGAAGCTCTAAGGAAGCTGGCCCAGGAAATATGTTTGCCTCTAACTGCTAGGTCATTTCAGAAATACAGTGTATGGTGGTTAAATGTGATTTGCACAAATATGGGTCAGGTCTTTTCCTAGACACATCAGGCATCCTTGCGAGCACTCAAGTAGACTCTACACTTGAGGAAGCAGCAGCAGCGTGCTGTTCCTGGTTCTGCTTACGTACAAGTTAGAGGACAGAGAACTTGGGCCAAACAGTTTTCTTTCAAAGCTGAGACAGAACAAAAGCAGTGGCCAGACAAATTTTTGTCAAAACAGACAAATACGGATCATTCAAGTAAAAGCGTTAAATAACTCAACTCTACAGCATTTTAATGTCCTCTCCACATAGTTTTGCTTGTTCTCTTGAGACAGAAAAGCCTCCCTGGGAGGCATCTGCCGAAAGGCCTGGATTTGAGTCCTTGCTTACCATTTCCATTAAGCATCTTACATAACCTCTCCGATTCTTCCAACTGACTCATGAAGCAGAAAATACCCACCTACCTCCTGCCTATACCATTACAGAGCATCTCCATGACCTGAAATCCATTCAGTAAACGTTCCTCACTACAGATCACGGACCAGGCAAAGCGCGAGGTGCTGCAGAGATGAGTGGTGAGCTGACAGTGCCCTTGTTCCGAAGAAGCTCAGAGGAACATGTAAGCCAGGAGGCTGTGGTACCTTCACAGCTCAGATACCCGCAGCATGATCAGTGCTAACTCAGCTGTGTGGATGAAATGGCTATGGGCAAACGGTCAACTATGCCTGGCAGGTGCCGTTCCTCCAGGACGCTATTTTGATTGGAACTCTTAAGGAAATTAGTGCTCAAATGTGGTATTCTGTGTCATTAAGTCAATGGTTGAATGCCTTACGGTGTCTAAGTTTTCATGATGACCGACGCAAATGCAAACACTTCATTTGCCTGTTTAGAACTGTCATTTGGCCTCGCCCTGTATCGAAACAGCAGCAAATGTTGGCGTGTATTATGAACAATACCAAGTCCCACCAGAGAAAGTAAACCCGGTGCTATTACCAGTTACTGCGCAGGACAAAGCACGTGTCTACACTCTTTCATTAGAAACAAGCCAACAGAAATCAGTGGTTGGAAAGTTAGTTCTCAGTTATCCAACATGAGGTTGTAATGCATGATTAAATCTTAAAGTGAGAGAGCGTGTTACACAACACACTCAACATTCTTCCCTGTTCCCCAGCTCCACTCCCCGGCGAAACCTCTTTCTCTAGTGGACCAAAATGGCTCTGTTTTAACTCATTAGTTAATTTAATTTATGGAAAAAGTGCAGACACTGGAGTTCAGTTTTTAAGGTGTAAAAATAAGGTTTGTAACAAACCCATAAGCAGCTCCTCACTACAAGTTTGCTCCCATTGTTTGGGCTATAACTATTTGTCTTTCCTAACTGGGTAACTTTCTTGTCCCCTTGATCACTTATCAAAGAGTGCTGGAACTAGAGGGAACTATAGAGTTAACTGGACAAACTCACTTTACACTTACGAAATGAAACTAAGAGGTTTCTTCTAATGATTATATTTTCCCTTTAAGCATTCCTTCATTAATCGTCCTATCTAAACCATGGGCGGCAGAGCATCGATAGGCCCACCTCTGTAAGCCAAAGTGTGAAAGGGATGAGCCTCCGAATGATGCTATATCCACAAATAACAGCCGCTGCAGACCTTCTGCCTGATCTTCCGCATGGTAAGCTGTTCCGGCTCAGGATGTCGCCTCCTGAACCACGTCAATAATGTCACAATCTGAATAAATTTAGGCAATTGTCTTAATGAAAACCCATCCCCCACAAGAAGAGACTGCACTGGACTGGGATCCTGGTGTGGGTCTGTCAGAACGTGGCTTATTACAGGAAATACTCCAGACCTCAACTTGCCTGTTGGTCTAGGAATTAAAATAGTTCTTCATTTCACCAGTGACACATTCGAGAGGAGGTAGCAAGCAGGGGACTCGGGCAACAGGGGATTCTGCCACAACCTACAAACACACACACACACACACTCACACACATTCATATTAGGGTAGGCATGTAGACTGTAATCCCTTCTTAGTGGAAAACACATTTTCAAAATGAATCCCCAAGCTAGAGTGAATTACCGTGATAGCCACAGCCGGAGGGAGTCCCACTTTGGAGAAATGCAGATCTGGCCACCTGCTTGAGAAGCCTTGGAACACCACACCGCCGGGGTCTTTTAAAAGGTGGCTTTTTTCAGGTAGGGTACCTACCCTCCTAAACGGCCTTTTTAAATTCCAGGGGAAAAAAAGAAGCCACCCCTTATCTTTGAACTATGCTCTTCTTCCTATATCCACTTCTGCTGAACACAGCATAGTTATCTTTTCAAAGAAAGAAGGAAAACAAGGGAGACTCGCACCACTGCAGATCCCAGAAGAAGTAGCCCCAAACTACACCAACGTCAAAAAATAGCTTCAGCAGCTAGGAAAAATCCCCGCATGCTATCTGCTGTTAGCTCAATGCAGACTGAGGCTAGCTGTGCCCGGAACCACAGCAAGCTGGGGCATCTCTGCAGCCTGTGTCCCTGCCAGCTCTCCCCCCACCCCCATGCGCTGAATTTGGCAGAGAAGTTACCCTGCCCAGCCTCTGTGCACAAGATGAACAGACCACACATCCACGTTCCCCAGATTAGTTCAGAGGCTGGGAAATTGAGGCTTCGGGGCTGTCAGAAAGCCCTGAGAGGGAGAATGGAGGGCTACTTTGAGCTCTAGGATTTTGCTGCATTGTCATGGCCTGGTAAACTATGGAGAATGTGTCGGATCTCCAGCCAAAAAAAAAAAAAAAAGGACCGGATGCGGTTTTCCCAGCGCCCCTGCCTACCCCCACCTCCGCCCCTCTTCCCGCCTATGTGCAGGTAGCAGTAGGGTGGGCGAAATGACCAGCTGCTCTCGCTGAAACTCAGGTGGCAGGCCCAGCTGAGAGGCACAGCCAGCCAGGGATAGGGAGTCGCCTGGGGAACACCCACACCGCGCATCTTCCCAGCCAGTCACCACCCAGGGGACTGCACCTGGCCACCGGCTGCAGGAGCCCTTGAGTAAGCACAAGAGAGTTCGAGCGGAGACCACGGGATACAATTGTCTAAAAGCCCATCCCAAGCGTTGGTTCATAAGGAGTGGGTGTGGGCTGGGAAAGGGGATTACGTAGGTCTCTCCGCCCCCTCCCCTGGCATCTCCTAGCCACTGGGAGGGCGCCCAGGGGCGGAGGAGACGCTGCGAACCCGTTTGGGGGCTTCTTTGTTTCTCTCCGGGGCCCTCGCGAGGGCCCGCTCAGCCTGCTGTACCCAAGCTTTGGGATGCCATCCCAGCCTGGGCGGCGACCCACCCCAAGCCAACAATTGAACCTCGCGGGAGTAAAGAGAGGGTGGGTAGAAGGGTGGATCCTAGCTGTAGGAGGGAGGGCGCTGCAGGGGCTTCACGGGGGTAAGAAAGCCGCCCGAGAAAGGGGGAAGGGGAAGCGGGTGGTTTGAGCGTAGTGTCTGCTTACCTTGGCAGCCTCCGACTGGACACAGATCATGCTCCGGTCAGCACGCGGGTTAGAACTGGTGGTCGCACGTGGCTTGCATAGGTGCCAAGCATTGGGGACCTGGTTTGCGAGTCCTGGGCGATCAGCGTCTTTCGGCTTGCTCTGTCTGCCTGGAATCCAGAGCCGGTAGCTGTCAGAGCCTCCGCCAAAGCTGGAGCAGCTCGCGGCTGGTAAACCTGTGCGAACCAGGAGGGGGGGGGGGGCCTTCTGGGTCAGAGGCGTGTGGTGTTGCGACTCAAGCAAGGACTCCCGGTGCGTGGCAACGCAGCACACTTTATTGCTTTAGTCTCCCTCCTGCATCCCCTCCCTTCCTGCCTGCTGCTCTGTGGGAACCAGACTTCAGAACCAACCAGGAGCCAGGCTTGTTCTCTGTAGCTCTGCTCCGCCCTGGAGCTACACGCACCTCCTCCTCGCCCCCGTAGTAAATATATATTGATTCTTGTTACCACCGGCCCCATCCTTCCAACACCCAGCACGCGCGTGGAGCTTACCCTGCACCAGCCACAGCTCATCAGTCCCTTTGTGCGTATGCAAATGGTGTGCTCTGAAACGGTGCAGTACAAACCTAGGTAGGTACACCGTGACAGGTGTTCTTACCTCAATTTTAAACACCGTTCTTGTCCAGCTCACAGATTTATTTCAGAGCATCCTCCAGTATTTTCACAAATAATACCCTAAACAACATTGTTATCCCAAACACAAAGGTTGAAAATCGCCCCGGGTATCTATTGTTGGCAAGCTTAGCTTTCCAAACAGGCTCAGTATTAAATTGTGCACGTTGTCAATACTAAAGCCGGAAGGAGGAAAAATTTAAACCTTTCTTTAACCAGTCAACCAAGATACAAAATAAAGTGAAATGCTGGTCACTGATTGCCAACTTCTCTACATAAACGAATTCAGGAGCATTTGGTTTACTTTGGGCTAGCATGTGTTCACATAAAGTGCTAAGGATCTGAGCCCATAATCGCCCAAAATCCATGATTTTACGCTCTTCACAATGCTTATTTATTTATTCCCATTTTCCAGCCCAGCATCCCCTAGGCACCCCAGTTTTCACATCCTTCAAAGTGATCTTTTCTCTCTCTCTCACCCTGACAAGACCTCTATCTCTATAACTTTTACTGAAGAGCTGACCACACACATCTCCAAACCATTTATAACAAGGTGGCTGGCTTCTTGGTGATGGCCTTTTTCATTGACCCGTCTCTTGTCACTGATTACACTCTAACAGTAGGAACTTTCCAGAAGAGTAAATCAGGACCAAGTGAAGGCACCCTTACCATCCTCCCCTTCTCCTGGGAGCACCTCCCTTTCCTCTGTTCTCTGTTCTCTTGAGGTACTTTGCTCTTTCTCAATACATAATTCTCTTTGCCTGGCAGGACTGTGATCTTTCCCGCCAGATGAGTTCAAGGCTGGCCATTTTTTTTTTCAAACCCTATTTAGAAGCCACACAGAACCCTGAGCATACATTTAACCAGATTTTATAGTTGAATTAATATAGAACTTCTATATGAAGAAAACCTCCAAGAATAGACTTGGTTGAGCTATATACACCACAATCAATCAAACTGTAATACCAACCAAAAACTTGGGGGAATAAAAGGTAAATTGATAGAAGTCTCTTGTATAAAGCAGTATTGAAGGGTTCTAAAAACACACAATACCAATAAACTGCAACAAAGGATAATTATTCTTCGCAATAAATTACTAAGATGCTCGATTTGATTTTCAGCGTTGCGGCATCAGTTTGGCTCAGAGATTTTTTTTTGTCTATTGTGTCATGAGGATGACTTGACAAGTCAGCATCTCTCAGTCTGCTGCCATGCAACACTCCTGAGGATGCTTTATTTATTTTCCTCTAGGCATTTTCTGCTTTCCTGCTTATTTTTCTACTAAATGATACCAAAGTTTCACATCTTCTGCAATTTTAGAATTTTTAATTAATTAAAATATAATTAGATCATTCACCCCTCTTCGCTCCAACCCCCTCATTCACAACCCTCCACTTCCTTTAAAATTCACCAACTCTTATTCTTTAATTATTATGATATACAAACATAAACACACACACACACACACATATATATATATATATATTTAATAAATTGCGGAGTCTGTTTAGTGTTACACGTGTGTGTATTTTTTAGGGTTGACCACTTGGGATTGAATAACCATTTAAGGGCTGATCCCAGGAGAGGACTAATCTGCCCTCTCTCCACAGTTTATAATTGCCTGTAGCTCTTCATTTGGGGTTGGGGCCCTGCCCAATGTCCCCGCCTCTGTTAGCATGTCAATCAGTGCCGTCATTCTTCAGGTCTTATTTAAGCAGCCACATTGTCAGGAAATCATGTGTGTAGCTTCCTGTTCTTCTCTGAAAGACACAATTGCACAGCAGACTTCCTGGTGATCCCATTCTTACAATCTTTTGGCACCGTCTTTCCTGATATTCCCTGAGCCTTAGATGTAGAGGTTGTGTTGTAGACGTAGTAACTGAGGCTGGGCATCCCACGGTCGAGTTGTTCTGAGCCTTTTGGCTAGGGGTGGCTTCTGTAATGGTCTCTGGAAAGAAACTTTTTTGATGACTGCTGAGAGCCGTACTTATCTGTAGGTATAAGGATAGATATTAGAATGTAGTTGAGAGTTATACTGGCTTAGGGATGGTCTTCCTCTAAGATCTATGATCTCACTAGTAGTGAGTGGTTCCAATACCAAGCATGATTCCCTTCCCATTGAACAGATTTTAAGTCCAGTTAGACAGATGTTGGTTACCACCAAGATGTAAATGCCAGTTTTGCACCCTTAGGATATTTTTTCCATACAGATTAGTATTGTGGTTCATAGGTACCATAGCTTAATAGATGAAATAAATAACTGAATTTGTGTAAAGCACTTTCTACATGCCCCCATCTGCCAGTGATCTCCACAGTGCTGAAAAAAATCATGACTGGTCAGAGGTTTCATCTTTGGAAGAGACCTTCAATGCGATGTCAGAAGTGCGTGCCATATAGCTAAGGGAAGAAGATGGAACTGTTGAAGTGGCACTCATGGTGTAATTAATATCTGACACTTCCGAGAGTGGGAGTTCCTTCTCTAGGATAAATTCTATCTGGTTTACAGCATATTATGGGGCAGGCTAGCATAAGAAGTGACTTAGCATTAACTTGGCTTGGCCTCTGAATAACCTAAAAACCGCACTGCCTCTAGCTGCATGTGAATCTCACAATAAACAGTAGAATAGATCCTTTCCCTCTTGTGACAGTCAGACATAGATAGTTTCTATTTGATCATACTTTAGTTATAGTAGGGGAGGGGGCTGAGCCAGCCTAGACTGCATACACAATAAGGCAACCTGTGTCCTTTAAGAGAACTTTTAGAAAAAAAAAAGAGAACTTTTAGAGAGAATCTTCTACTTAAAACCTTATGCTAATGCATAATTCATGCATATGACTAAAATGAAATGTACTATAGGAGGGAAAATGCATAGTGTTCAAAGACTCATAAAATCTAAGCCTGTCAATCAAAAGAGAACCATCTAAACTATGACCTTAGCAATAAAACTCTTTCTATGCTTGAACTCCAGAAAAAGTAGGTCCGAACAAAAATTGGTCGAGTATTCTTATTTAGATGGACACTGTCACTCTTGATGGTGGAATCCTATTTGGGCTCATTTTTTTGATTAAAATTTCCCAGCTACATTTTACTCTGTGGGGGCCAAGAGGCCAAGAACCTGAAAACATCTGCCATAGACTGCTATGACTTAAGGTTTGCCTAGCTTCAGCCTACAGAACAAGTTGCATACCTCACCCTTCGCAATGATAGAAAGGACAGTTTTAATGTTGAAAAGGGGGTAAGCCTGCATATGGATACTGAGTAGCAGTGGGCTTCTTAGAAGCTATGAAAGTCTTAGGGTGATTTTAGGTGAAAGTCCCATTCTAGGCTGACATCGTACGAAAGAGCATAGGAATCTCTCCACATGAGTTTATTCCTTAAACAGTTTTTTGAAGTGTGATGATTTATCCGAAGAAACTCTGAAGAAGACAGTCTCTTACTTGCTAGAGATTAGATCTGAAAGCCTGGAAATGTCTAATTAAACAAGCAAGCACTGCACACTTAATTGGAGCAGTGACAGATGAGTGTCAACCTGACAATACACAGAGGCTCTGTGTAATCCAGACCCAGGCTGGGAGGGGAAGAGGAAGGATGGGGGTTGACAGTAGGCTTCAGCACCTGAATTGTGGCTTGAAGGGTTAGTAGGAACAGAAAGCGAGGGAGTGGAAACAGAGTGGGCCACAAGACAGAGAGTGGCAAAGAGACAGGGTGGCCCTGCAGTGTTCAATCTGATTCAAGTGTTGGTGGGCAGTGGATTTTCACTGTACTCTTAATGTGCATGTCCGCAATGACTGATAAGGTCATTTTTGTGTTTATTTTCCAACTGTCGTTTTTAGTGAAGAGTCTTTTTGAAACGTCTTCCCATTTCAAATGACTTGTTTGCTTTTACACAGTTTATTTTGGAGAGTGCTTTGTCTTACATATAAATTCTTTGTCCGACATGTAATATCTGAGTATTTCCCCTCAGCATGTGGCTTATATTTTAATTCTTTTCGTTTTTCTTCTCTCTGAGAACATGTTTACACTTGTGGGAGTTCAAATTACCAACTTTCTTTTACAGATCATCCTTTTGACATCACGTCTAAGAACCTTTTGGACAAACCTAGTTTATAAGAGTTTATCTTGGGATGGTTCATAGTTTTATACTTACACTTATGTCTGTGGTCCTTTTGATTTACTGTTACTTCTTAGTTGTGAGGCATAGGCCATGATTTATTTTACTTTTGTTCACTAATTGTTTACACATGTCAAATATTTCAGCACCATTTATTAAAGGCTGTTCTATCTTAGTTGAATTGCTTTTGCAATTAAAAAAAAAGTCAGTTGGATGCTCAATTCCTCATCATTAATCTGTGTGTTCATCTGTTTGCCAATGTTATTTTGATTATGTAAACTTATATCATGTTAATCCTCCAAGTCTGTTACTAAGAAAATTCTTTTCAATGTTTATATTTCTCTTCCCATATTTAAAATCAATTTATTAATATCTGCCAAAAATTTCTGCTTAGATTTTGATTGATATTATGTTAAACTTATAGGTCAATTTTGGAAGAATTATATTTTAACAAATTTCCAATACATTAATATTTTATAATCCATAAACTTAGTATAATTCTGTGCATATTGGCTTTATTTTAT